AGACGACCATTTGCATAATCAGCTTGCGTATAATTAAAAGGCAATCGAGTAGAGGAAGCTGCTTAGGGTTTCGGATCAGCATCAGCTTCAGATTACCTAGGTGCTAAGGCAAAACTTTCTGCACGCTAGCCAACATTTTCACCTTGTTGGCACGCTGTGCGTTGCCCTCTTAGCCATTTCCTTTTGACGTTTATTATCCTCGCCGACAGCACACCTGTTACTCGCTCATATCCTTGCAGGCGCGGGCACACTTCGAGACGAAAGCCAATCACTCGCACGTAATGAAATTGCCAAGGCTGTTGGCACAGGCCTAATCCAAAACGGAAATGAAAGCGATTGCGTTATGCGGCACAGCATATACGTTGAGTTTAAGTCTGCCAGGGACCTCTTTTGTTAGAACAAACTTTGTGCTATCCTTCCCGGGGATTATAGGTAATTTTTAGAAACACCGTTGCCAAATAAGAAGAACTTGTTGATTCAGACCATAAACTGACGAGTTAAAGAACGTCGCCGGACCCTTTATCTAAGCTCTTATTAGATGGACGAAAATTACACTAAAACCTAATACAACAAACTTACTCAGCTCACCATAATTGTTTTGTTTTTCTTTTATATATTACTTTTGGAAACATATTCCACGTGCCTGTTGTTTCTCTATTAGCTCAGTAAATTAGCAAAGCAAATTTTGTGTCCCATCTTGACAAAAACTTTAATTGGCAGTCCAAACAAGTGTCAAAATAGCGGATGGCAGCGCAAGCAAAGAGTTAGGACAAAGTTTTGCTCAGACCAGCCGCACTCTGGGCTCGTGAATAGCTATTAAAAGTTGCTAAAAATACGGCGACAAGTCTTGACAATGTAAACAATTTTAAAAGCTGAGCAAACAAAGTAAGAATAAATTCAATTTTAGGGACCATATATAAAAAATATTGCGCATACGCAGCGCTTGCCAAAAAGTACGTATACGCCGCGTGGCCACAGTGCTTATGTGACGTATACGCCAAGTAGCCACAGTGCTTTAGTAAATGTTGAACACTATCGAATTCAATTAAAGGGTTACGTATAATATATAAAGCATACTCAGCGTGCGCCCAATATTACGTTAACGTAGTAGTTAAACACACAAAATATTAATAGACTGAGATGAGAGCGTAAACTGAATAACTGCAGATCTCACTGTCCAACTGTCTGTCAGTCCGACTGTCACGTTAATAGCGAGACTTGTTTAAGCGCTAAGAACTCATATGCATTTGCCTCACGTGTCTGAGCGCCTTTTATTGCCAATGTGCGTTGGGGGTGAGTGGGACAGGACGGCTGTTTGCTCGACTTTTTGGCACGTTTAACGTTCATTAATTTGCAGCGTGTATGTTTTTAATGAAGATGCGTGCCTGCTCGGGCTCACAGACACGCGAATACACTTTATTTAAGCTAAGAGGCTATAATTAATGCTAAGCCCAAAAGTTAACCCAGCGCTTGTTAAATTTATCATCATCAGCGTTGACACTAAAGCAGCGCCTGTCTTTAAAAATTTACTTTACGCTCCGTATGCTAATTAGTTGTATAATTTCAATTATGAGTAATTGGCGCGACATTAAATTTGACTTTCGCTTGAACTCTGAAGCAATCAAATCTGAAATCATAGCTGTGGATTCTTAACAAATATTCACTTAAAGAGCTGTCAAGTGCCGGCTGTTTCATTGATTTACTTCCACATTCAAGTGAAATCTTGCCGGAAGCTCTGCCCGGGACAAAGATAATAAGCCCAAATCCCGTGTAAGCCCGACCCAAAATAACAAAAAGTGCATCAAGGCCATTTAAGCGGCTTGACTTGATTTAAATTTTTCATTTGCTGTGCTTGGTCCTTTTGCCAAATAAAATGTTTAAATAGCGCGTACAAACACATACACACGCAGACACTAACACACGCTCACGCATTAAGAGGAGAGACACAAACTAATGCAAACTAATCACCGTTGACAGTAAAAGGAAATAAAAGAGAAGGCGCATAGGGAACTGCGAACTGGACACAGCACATTGAGCAATATCCCAGCGAGCATTGAAGCTCGTAAAAGGGTCTGCCTTATGTGACAAACACACACAAATACCCGTATGCAGTGCCACACACATACACACTCAGCCATTTTATGGCAGCTGCGTGTTTAGTTTTTGCCCTGCTTTGGTTTTAATTCAAGTTGATGTGGCAAAGTGCAAATAAAAGAAACAGATTTATAAACAGAAGCGTTGCGAGTTTATTTTCACGTCTCTCAGATTTACTAAGTAAAATATTTGTGCACAGTCTCATAGAAAATAACCACATAGACAAACAAAACAATTGCAACAATGGGCAGGAAAGCCGCCAGAGCCACATGTGACTAAAGCTTTTGTCAAAATTTAACCATGCGGTTTTCACAATTCTGTTTTCACTAAATTCCCAGGCATTTTCAAAATAAAACAACCAACAAAAAAAGTCCATACAGAGTGGCCTAGTCGATATGGCAATGCTCTGCACCCAAATTAGCCTAAATATCCAAAAAGTCAATAAATGTATTTTTACACATTTTCGTTAAGTTGCTAACATTTAAAGACGCACATTTAACAAAAGTATTTATATAATTTTTTCCTAGTTCCGAAGTTAAACATTTGCATTTTTTAATTTGATCTACATTACATTATTATGGAATATGTAAGTTGCCGAACTCAGTTTCGGTTTCCATCAGGAATTGAAGTTGTTTATGACTGTTTGCTATACCCTTTTTCCATATTAATGAGTACGGAGTATACAAATGTAGCCACAAATGCTAAGCAAATGTGACAAGGCGACTTTGACAAGCATTTTAGTTTAGCCCAAACTAAAATTTAGGCAAATTGCAACACATCAATTAGCTGTGAGCAGCTGCTAAAACTCGGCTGGAATTAAAACTGCGGTCGCCTGTTTAATGAAGATACGCCGCTTAAAGAGATTATTGCCCTCACCTAATCCTAGTTCGAATGCCTGTAGCATGTGAAGAAATTGATGTAAAGTTAACTTTAACTTAACAGAACATCTGAAAGAGTGGAGAGTCCATTTTAATGAAGACATATTGAACGTAATATTCATTTGTAAAAAAAAAATATGACTAACAATCGCATTAGCGAACAAACATATCAAGCTATGGGCTTAAAGTCTTGTTTAATGTCTATCATCTGAAGTTTCAGCTTTCAAAATTTTATAAATCAAACGAAAATTAGAGCCCGGGTCAAAACATGCTCCGGGCAGCAAAAAAAATAAATAAAAGGGATAACGATGTAACATATGTTATGCTTCAAAGCCGCAAAATAAAAATGAAAAACAATAAATGAAATAAGAGAGCGCTAACGACGCTAACCCTAACAAAACTCGCCAGTAAACAAAATAATATCGAGTGCCCAGGGCAACATATTTAAAAATGACAGCACAGCAACTACAAGAAGAAGAGAAAAGGATCAGAAGATACCCTGCAAAATAGCTTATGGCTTAGATGACTTTGCATAACTGGTAGAACTCTCATAGATCTACTTTATAGTTTGACAGAGAATTCGCGGCCTATCAACTCGTTTTTTCCATATGATAACATACATATGCCCAACATTATGATAGTCTTAAGTATAGGGCATAACAAAAACCAAATATGCCCTAAGCTGCTGTCTGTCACACAGTGTGAGAAACAGACGACAACGGAAAGCGGCAAACATAGATGCTGGAAGCTGCTTATAATATTTATGGCGTTCATTTTAATGCCAACTGTCAGCGTGAAAGTAAATCGCCTCTGCACATATGAAGATGTGTTTTTGTATGCGACATAGAGACAGAGGCGCAAAGCCGCTTATGCTTTGCTGCGACATTACGCATACGTCGTGTGTGCCGTCCAGAATTTGTTGCGTGAGCCATGCATACTTAATTTATCATAAAAATAAAGTGCACATTCATGAGTCGAGTCCGTGATGAAAGCAGGTGACATTTGAAAGGACTGGCTAGGTTAGCTAACTAAATTATTGTGCTTATTAACTAAGTTAGCTTCTAAAAAAAAATAAACAAATAATTAACTAACCGTTTAAGTTGGGCAGCTTAAAAGGCAGATGCATCACTGCAAGCTGCTGCTAATAAAACAGGTTTAGAAACAAAATAAAACGATATGATAAAAAAATATGAAAGCTTGTAGAACCGATTTTTTTTTTGGTGGGAATAGAAACAACGATGAAGTTATTTATTGCTTAGAAAAATATATATTTATTACAAAAAATGATTGTGGCCCATTCGCGATCTTTCTATTAAACAAACATATCACTAAAACTTGGTTTCATCTCTTGTCAAACAAATTCTCACTGGGACAAAATAAATAAACGCCTGTGTAAACAACATATGAAAAATGTGCTCCTTCAAATCAAGTCTCAATGCTCAACTTAAAACTGAACAGCCGACAAATCAAATCCGCAAATTTATTTTAATACAAATATAAAGCAAAATAAATAAAAGCAGATGCACAAATTGAATTTTAAATTGGGCAACAGGGAAAATTGTGGGCCAGAATGAAAGCGAATAGTATAAGCTGCAAATTTAAAGACCGCCTCAATAGCCATTTAACCAAACTTTAGCTGGCGAATACTTATATTGTCTGACACATTTCGCAGCTAGCAATTTTATTAGATTTTCGTGGAATTTTCGTTTTAATTGCAGTCAAGCGATAATTTAAACTTGTGTGCTTTCCTATTTATTTTGCCAGTAGTTTTGTTACTGTTGAAAAATACTTAAAATGATTATACCCTGTTTTGTTGAACTATAGGTAAGAAGGCCATAACAGTAGATATAAAACCCAATCATGAAATGAGATATGTTATTATTAAAGTTGTGCAGAACTTTCTTTAATTAAAAAAACATATTTAAATACCACCCTTGATTGCGATTCTCATAAATTAAAGTAAGCATTACAGGTTTTAATGCTTTATCTCTCTCTCATTTTAATATTCTTTCTTTCTCCTACGCTTAGTCTTACCCGCTCTCTGTATACGTGAAGGATTGTTTACTTCGTGCATGTGTATGCTAATTCTTGGGTAAGTACATATAAGTATTTATATATATTGTATATTAATAAGTACATATGTTAAGTTAGTTCAGCTTATCTCTTTGGTTTCGAGTACAGGGAATCACTAGTCGAGCCATTTTCTTTTTTTGTGGTTTTCTTAACAGAGGCTGTGCTATTACTCGGAATTGTGTAAAATGGCAATTGCTGCTCAAGTTCTTAACTCTTTGCGAGATATGAGAAATTAACTTTTTATTAAAAAAAGGTAAAACAACTAAACAAGAGAGAAAGATATAAATTGATTCCTCGCCTCTGCGTTGGGTATTCGAAATTTGCAATTGGAACCACACTTTGTTGGTAGGAAATAAAATTTCAAAAATGTCTACCGCAGCAAATGCCAAGGAGTCGAAATCCCAAAGCATTGCAATATAAACGGTTGCCAGGTTGTCTCAACTTTGACAGTTTTATTGATATTCCAACCACACAATAAGCCCGTAGGCCAAAAGACAGCCAAATATTTTATGACTTTTCGAAAAGTTAACGCATACTTTTAGGGTGCTGCAGCTAAATCCTTCTTCTGTGTCTTCGTGTGTGTTTGATATATTTAATCGGGTAGAACCCATATGCAAATAGACAGCCGCAATCGAAGAAAGTACAAATAAAGTCTGTATGTGTGTCTTATGAAAGAGTTGGCTGCTCTCTGTGTGTGCTTTCGGATTCTGCAGCACTTTTGTATAAACTCATTCGGCTACTCATGCGAGCGGGTGCAGAAAAGTTTTAGAGGTTTCTGTGGCTCCTGGAAGCAGATGGTTTTACACTCCACATTAAAAAGTTTGACTCTTTTTTTTTCAAGCAGCTCACTGTTTCCTCAACTTATATTGAAGCCTATTTATATGAATTCTATTTATTTCAATATACTCTCAAGATTGTTTACGCTTGGCAAACGACAAAATCGACTGTTAATACTGGTGCTTGGACCTAAGTTATTGTCCCTTTGTCACTTGGAACCTAAAAACCCTTTTAACAAATAATATTCAGCGAATGAATCGATTTCCTGTGATTAAGTCTTGTTTGCCTCGAGCGATTTACTTACACGTATGTACTTCATATGGTCCATTATTCACATTTGTAAAACATTTCACCGTATTTAATAAAAGACTGCGCCTGACTCATAACTTTCGCTAGAATAGCTGGTTATTGCAAACAAGATAAGTTGTATTTGTCTGCCCATTAGTTTGCGCCTCATTGTTATTTGTTTACTTGGCCAATTTGTGCATACTCCCCAAATATGATTTGTCTCATTGTGAATGCTGTCGACTTTGAAGTCATTCATTTCCTTTCAGCTCTTGCGGCTTACTGTTCATTAACATACGGTCGATGGATGCTAACCACGGCTTGTCTGTCAAGCAAAATGTTGAGCACAACAACAAAGGACATCAGACATCAGAGGACAGTCTGAATGCTATACAATAGTCGCCTCAATACAAATAAATACGCTTAAACGTAGCATAAATAAACCAACATGTGTGTATCTGTGTGTGTGTGTGTGTGTGGGTGCGTGTTTGTGTTTGTGTTTGTCATGTAGGAGGGTCGCCATCTTGTTGCTTTTGACCCATATACACAGTCATTGACAGTTGACTATGAGATTTTGGGTTCAGCCAGATATAAAAAGCTTTAAGTACATGATAAAATAGTCGCCTTTAAAGACAACAAACAGACGCAGAAGTTCCACAGAACCTCAGCATGAGCTCAATTATCCAATTTGGACTCTCATTGTGAGCGAAACTCTCGCTCTATCAAATATTGTGTTTTAGTGTACAAAAATAATTGCTATAATGAACCTTTCATTCGTACAAAAGTATAACTAAGGCGAACTCTTGCATATGAGCACTAAATACATAATTAAACAAAATACATTTGGTAAACTCATAATTATTTCTGTATATCTGTAGCCAATATATAATAGATAAAATAGTTGGTGCCCTTTAAATTTTAATTAAGGCTATAAGATTTAGACCATGCCTAAAAAGTAACGTGCAGGATTTGGCTCTTTAACGCTTAGTTCGACTTTAGCTTTAAATGGTGTCCTTCTCAGAATTTTCGCTGACATTTAACCTTGTTTTGTCTGCGAATAATTAAAATGCTAATTCAATTATGTCAGTTATTTAACGGCATGCAAACTCTTGCCTCTTGGCTCAGTAATTAAATTAGTTGCATAATTAATGCATTTAGCCGTAAACTGTTAAGTTGCAGTTAGCCGCCCCCAACAGTTGCATAAATCATTTTGCCACATAAATCTTTCCCTTTCAATTCTCATATCTATGCGTGCTTCAATGGAGAGGCTAAACCGCAAGAACCGCACAGAATATTTTGAGGTTATGAAATATCCGCGATAGCGAACAGAAGAAGTGTGTCTGTGTTTGTGTGTGTGTGTGTGTGTTTGTGTTAGTATGCGTACAAACAGCCTACCATATTTCTCTTTCAATATAGTTCGCACCACTCCACTGTCTCCCACTGTCTCCCACTAGCTCCGCATTAGTCTGTCTCCCCTTCTCACTCGCTCACACTCTTGTGCACATTTGCCTATCTCTTGCACATTTCACATGCTGCGCCTGCCACCGAATTGATTTTCAATTTTTACGCTCGCCTAAACGGAAAATTCATGATGAAGCATGGAACATGACAGATTGGACTTGTCGAACGAGTAACACATTTTGGTAATAACAAATATGTTTTTTTTTGCCAGCATATTGCATTTACTAGGAAGTTGCATAACCTCAAATAAATAAACGCATCCTCTCAATTCGACTTAAGTTTGAAGCTTCTACGGACAGATCTTAAATTGCTGTCAGTTGACAAAAATATGCAAACAATTTAAATTGGTTAACAGTAAAAAAAATATATTATTTAAAAAGTTATCTTCAATTAAAAACAATCTTGTATCATGCTTTGGATCGTGAATAACACAGAGATACAAGTTACACAGATTTCGTGAGATATTTTCTTTGAGCTTAAAAATTGTTTTTAACTGCGCTCAAGTTTAGTTTTTGTCTCAATTTAAAAATCTTTGTTTCAAAAATGTTTACCAATTGCGAATATTATATTGTCTTAAGTTGGATATTGTTTTTTTTTTTTAGGCCTGACTAAAACAAAAATTTTTAGGGTATTGAGTCTTCGGCAACTGGCCGAAGTTTATTCTTTCTTGTTTAGAGTGTAATTTAAAGGCGCATGCAAATTGGCTGCCATTGTGCATTATTTTCTTTAAGAGAAAAAGAGAGTGAAATAGTGCCACAAGCCAGAACAGACATATATCTTCGTAATCCTTTAGCATGGAATTTGTATTGTCAAAATAACCAAGACAGCATAGCATGTATTTATTGTTATTTTAAGGCTATACAAATGTAATATGTTAAATACAAAACCACATTAATAAATGCGCAATGCAATTAAAGTTTCCATTTCAAATTAGCCGTTGAAAAATACAATTTACTCAAATTTACCCTTTTGTCAGCCTTAGGCTGACAAATGTAAAAAAAATGTACACAAATTTAAATTATATTAAATGTGAGCTAATTGTAATATTTGCTATGGCAATGTGTGTTTCTGGCACTTACACAAATTGTCGTTTAAATGGTAAGCGAATATTTAATTAAAAGCTGGTTAATTAATTTTCCGAATTGTTAAACAATTGAATATAGCACTCAAATATCTTATAACATTTATTATTTACCAGGTCACTTGATGGCAAAGTATGAAGGGGCAGAATTCCTGTAATTCCCCAGGCAAAAAACAAACCGTTGCATGTGCTTTTAAATAGTATTTAACTTTGTTTATATTCGAAGTCCTTGCAAGTTTCTGCAACAACTTTTCTTCGTATTTCCCACAGTAGTCGGAAAAATGCGGACTTAAAGTATATTTAAGCCCACAAAGAACTATTAAACAGGCAAATGCTATTTGAGTAGCTCGTGCATAATTCAAGTGGCATAAGTCAGACTTTTCTGCAAAGTGGCAAACAAAATGGCGCGTTTCCCAATGCCTTTTTTATGGCGTCTTGATGGCAATCACTTCCGGTTCGGTGAGCCTTTCTGCAGCTTTGGCTTGGCCCAAAAAAACTGTCGAAAGTTGACCTTCGTTTCATGCAGATTTGGCAGCAGTGACAGCGAAAGCCGCATAGCCTTTGGACTTGCGCATAAATTAACCAGTAGTTAATGTCTTGACCAGATGTTAAATATTGTGCGTTAGATAGATGGCCGAAAAAGTTGGCCGAGTGCTTGAACCCAAGCTACATTTGTTGTTGTTAATCACTCACAACACATCTTTTTACTGCCTCGCACATTAATCAGCTTTTGGCAAATCAATCTAGGCCAAAATAAAGCAAATATAGTCAAGCCCTATGCTCCACGCTATGTACGTGGAATGAGTTATTGACGAATTTACGATGATTATAGTCCTATGCTTAGATAACACTCGGGGCACAACAAAGAATCTATATACCAAGGCGAAGAGTCAACCTTTAACAATTAGTTTATTGGAAATAATCTATATAGATCTCATAAACTACGAGTGTGCTTAAGACCATGTCGCAAAATCGATACTTATCGATATTTTTAAAAATGGAACGAAATATCGAACAATTATTAAACTCATTTTGCTCGTCGATCTGATCAAGAATATATATTTGCAGGTGCTTTCTTCTGCCTGTTGCATGCATTTTCATGTAACCCATTTTCAATGAGTTCCGTTGTTGTTTCTTTTCTCATTATCCAGAATACTGTAAAAAGCTTTCAGCCACTTGCTGAGCTGCCAGAAAAATGCAATGCAGACCACGTTTAAAACTTTCTGTGACTTATTTAAGTTAATGGAATTTTTCAACTTACGGCAAGCTACAGGTGCGCTACAGATGATGCGGTGTCGCTTGCCATTGCTTCTATTTGCCGTTGTGCCAGTAAATCTAAGTTTCTAAGTTTGTTTACTTCAAAAGGTTGCTAAATCCGGGCTTGGGTGGCTAACTAAGCTTCAAGACCCAACAAA